GATGGTTCAGTTCCATTTCAGTGTTCCAGTAAGTCATGACAGTGAGCATAATAGAGTGGTGCACTGACAAGTCCTAAAACCCAGAAGTTAGTTAGCATTTTACCACTAACGGTTCTCTCGTCTCAGAGTCAATGGGATTTCTCCATAGGATTTTGGAAAATAGCTGGAAATATGGTCTGTGGTTGACAAACATTTAAGAGACGGATCACGTTTTGTTCTACAACATTAAATACATCAGCAGTGACCCCACTGGTGATTTTTGAAGAGTTTACATGTCTGATAAACGATGGTTGTTAACACGTGGTTTAATCGGACTACAGAAGTTGTCGAGGACGTTGTACGTCATTACGCCAAACACGTAAACACTCCCGCTAAGTTTGTTTGCCGCTGTTCTGCTTGAAAGCAAGTACCTGCGCTCTTGCAAACTGTTAAAACAAACGCTTCAACTTGTACAATTTCGAATCTGTATTTTTAAGTTGGCGTGACATTGAAGTCGTGCGACCCTGCTGTTCTTGGATGTAGTTCATTTATAGCATAACGTTAGCATTTTGCTTCTGGCGATTAGATTTATGATTGTAAAATTATAAAAGTAGGGTAGACATGTGGATATTATCCGGCTGAACAAAACGTGTATTTATTAAACAGGTTCGTTTTCCACTGATCTTATTTTTGCCCATGCGCAGCTTACTTCCAGGTAAATATGTCATCCATGCACCACTCTATTGAGGGGCTGTATAACTGGATTAAAGGTATGCAATTTAGCATTTCTATCGGTTTGGAAACCATGGACTAGCATCGCCACAAAGACTGCAAAAAGCTTTTGATTTTTGCTGACTCATTTACTTTTCTGACCATTAAATCTTTGACATTGCACTTCAATATTTTCATAATTTCACACTAACCATCCACATAGTCTTGGTTATATCTTAAACAGCAACTTCATGTGATACTTTTGACATGGCTTTACCACCATTCTGTGTCTTCCAATTTGTAATTTATTGCTTCATGTAGTTGCATTGTTCCAAAAAATATATACCATGTTGCTTCCTTGGTCTTGTACATGTACACAATTTGTAACGGTCCTTTTTTACAGTAGCTTTTCATTGGACAGGTCTGTGACTGCAATTACGGAGCCACCACCATTATACTAAAGTTCAATCAGTAATATGTGATAATTTATGGAATCAATTATATATGCACTTGCATCTCCTTCTATTTCAGTCTCTATTGTAAATGAACTGATAATTTGTAGCAAGTTACCAAGTTAAGATTAGTGGAAAAGGCTCTCAGCGGGAGCCTCTTTCTGAGATTTCTCGGAGAAGTAATCCCTCATTATCAAACACATGAATAATAGATCTATTAAGTGAACAATATAAAAAAGCTACAACAACACATAAGAGATTGGGTTAGTGAGGGAGCTAGATCAGGCAAGATATTATGTTGCAAGCTGGCCATTATATTGAAAGAAAACACAGTCTGTTCTACTGCAAAGCATTGGTTGTAAATGCGGGGCAACCTAATCTAAACTAATAGCAGAACTTATCAAGGTTTTCTGACTCGTAACTGTCCATATCTGTTCAAATGTTCTTTTCCGTCTTTGAACACTTCTAGAGTACATACCGTGTTCCCTTTAGCGTTAACTTCCTGTCTGGTTTTGTTTGGCTGACTTCTCTCTCATCCAGCTCTTTGTGTCTTTAACGTCTTTCCTTCTCTTGTCTTTTTGTCCTTTCTCTTTTTTTACTGAAGGCAGGTTTGCCATCATCAACAAGTTGCATGCTCTCTACAATTTTTAAAATGATTATTCAAAAAGTATTCAATGGTTCTTTGATAATGATGGATGCTACAGCTAACGTTGAGTTGCCCAGACTTATTTATGAACATAGTCCCTTGCTCAGACTGTCCCTGCAACGGTCTGTTATCTAAAAAGAACAGGCTGCGTAATGTAAAAACTGACAAATCAGAATGGAGAATTAAAATTAGCCGTGTAATAATAAACGATGATAAAGGCTGCCTTGTTTACTCATATAAATAAGATTGGACGTCACTGGAGGTAGCCAAGAATGAATGAGACCATGATGGCGAAGGAATGGAACAGCTGATTCCTTAAAAAGACACCCTTGATGTTGCTCACACACACAAGAGTGAAGGCACACAAACACACATTGACAAAAAAAATCATTATTTGCAGTGTTTCCGCGCAGTTAAGGGACCATGGCCCCCCCGCTAGTTATGAATCCTGGAGTCGTTTGCCACAAATGTACAGGACTCAGCGGGTGGCTGCCCCTAATGATGGTTTGCAGGGTGTACTGCTGATGGTTTTCTAAATGTGTCTGTGTGATGGGTGGGTGTAATTGCATGTTCTGTGTGTGTGTGTTTTTGTCCATATTCACGCTCTGTTTCATGCCCTATGTTGCTTTATCCAGGCCTTTGATATGCTGATATGTATGCATGCAGTGTATCTTTCCTGGCATGGTGTGTGTGAGTGTGTGTGTGTGTGTGTGGGGGGGGTGTAGTAGCATGTACCTGCAGATTTATAAGCATGCCTCCATGCTCTCCAATGATGTGGGACTGAACCATGAATCAGCCCAGCCTGTAATGAATTCTGATGGCCCACAGGAGAGGGAGAGGGGGGGGGGCATGGTAAAGGAGATGACGGAACACGAGCAAAGGAAGTAGGGTACAAGATGAAAGGAAGATGAGAGAGGAAAGACTGTAGAGGAGATGATAGAGAAAAAACGTAAGGACATGAAATAGAGACATAAAGGAAAGAAGCACATTGCAGAGCTGCAGGTCCATTGATTTATCACGAGAAAAAAAATATTTCAGTCCTCGCGCTAGGGGTTCTTTCCAGGGAAATACCCATATCTCCCTTCTACAAATTGCAATGAGATGTTTGCTGTTACCAGAGCAACTGTAATAATTTAATTTATTTCCACATCTAAACACCAGAGAATTCAAAGTATGTGTACAGTAGTATCCGAATGAAACTGTATTTGCATACTTGCTAGGCTTAAAAAAAGCTTTGAGAAACATGAATTAGCAACACAGACTTGAATGATTGATCTTTTTTGTCAAGCTTTCATTGAAAAAGTTTTATTCTGGGTATTCTATATTGGGTTAGGGTTAGGTTTTTGGAAGATGTTCATATTCTTTGCTCTTATTCTGTCCTGTCTTAGCTTGTCAAATTAGGTAGGTTGAAGTCCAAATCTCCCATAAGGTTGCAAGGCACCATAAAAACTAAAGTCAAAAGAACCCTGAAGGCCACAACACACTTCACATTGACTAACACTAATATCTAAATCCCTTTAACTGTAGAGGAAATACTTATTGCAATATCAGGGGTGTTAAAGTAAAGCCCCTGATTTAAAACCACCATACTTATGGGCTGCTTTCCTCAGGCTTCAACACTTTCAAATGTAAACTCTGCATTCAACCTTAACATATTTTTCTTATGTAGCAGAATGGGAGTATATGTGCATTTAGTAGCACAACCCTCTGATATACTGTAACAATACATTTTCCTTTTATCCTTAAATTAATTAAGTCTCTGTCAAAGAAATTTGGAAGACATAATTAATTTCCCACATTAGGAAAAGCTATGCCATCACATTTATATTTAACATTAACATAATGAAGAACACTTGTTAATAAATAATCTTCCAATTCACAAAATCAGCAATATGTTCATGAACAAGTGAGTTTTGTTCACTAAAATATTGTATAGTGGCCAACAAAAACATTATCAAATAAGTGTGAACTTAATGAGACCTAAAATACATGTTATATATCACACAGGCTCCGCCCTCTACTGGACTCTATGGGTACTACTCTCTATCATGCTATGCATGCATTCACCTCCTGATTTGCATAAACGTAGCCGGCCAATCGGGGCGAGCCTACCTGAATGCACGCGCAGGCCCACAGTATATATACGGCGGCTACGCCTCCCGACCGCCATCCTTTTTCTCTTCAGCGAGCAGCAACAACTGAATCTAAACGTAAGAAGATAGATAGAAGAAAGTGAAAGAATATGGACTCACCACTCCTTGAACATCGGCCTTGCCCTACATGTCCGGGCTTAATTGCGGGTGCTGATCCCCACCGCTTGTGCTTCGAGTGTTTGGGGCCTGACCACGCGGTGGAGGGCAGCAAACATTCGCTGTCCTGCAGTGCCTGTTGTGCGCTCCCGCGGCTCAGACGCCAACATCGCCTGGAACACTTCTAGGCGCATTATGTCTCGCCAGACGAGGCGCAGGACAAGGAGGAGTTTGAGGCGGTCGAAATGGAGGACCAGGAGGTGGCCGAGGACGTATCGTTAGTGTTCGCCATTCCGACGTGCCGGGCGCCCCCGTTTGTCAAGGAGGAAGAAGACGAGGACTACTCGTTGTCGGGCACTTCTGAGTTCGGCGTCCACGAGGGTACACCGCGCAGATCTGCCGTCAGGATTTCCCGCTGGTGATGGCAAAGGCGGCGGAGCTCCCCCCTCTGCTACCACCCAAACCGTTGAGCCGCCTCCGTCAGGGGTTTTATGGCCCGGTTCAGCCAGCCCAGCCGGCCTATGTTTCGCCCCCGTTGCCAGATATCTGGCAGTGTGTGTGGAGGCAACGTGGCGGCACCCTCTGAAGACGAGCGCTCCGGTGGCTGGCATGGCAGGTTTGCTCAGGGTGAAGGGCCGCACGGACACATCGTGTCTTGGTGTGCCCCCCCTCGATGAGCCTGGCGGCCCATCTGCTCCCACAGGCAGCAGGTTGGGCGGAGGGGAGAAGACTCCTGCCCCTGCTGCCTCGTGACTGTGAAACACTAGAGTATCTTGATAAAATATTCCGACTCGGGGCACAGCTGGCGGTGGCGGCCAATCATCTGGGCGTGTTAGGGGTCTCGCTGATCACCCCTCAGCAGGAAGCCCCGCCTCACCGTCTCAGGAAGACCGGAGTGATTAATCTGGTCCATGGTGTAGCCGCCGCAGCTGGCCGTGTGTTGTCCCTGCATGGCCACAGTGGTTAGGACTCACGGCGCTCTCCAAGAAGGACCGTGATGATGTCCTTGGAGCCCCCGTATCCACGCAATGGCTCTTCGGATGGATCACCTCGGTCGCGCTTCAGCCGCTTAGAGGAGGGAAGAGCGCAGCTCAGCCGTATGCTACCGCTGGCTCTCCCTCAGTGGGGTGAGCGTGGAGTCAAGGTGAGGAGGAGAGAGATGCGCCCATGGCTCCCGCTTCCTCTCCTGCTCCCTCGGCTGGTTCTACGGGGCGGGTTCAATTCCAGCCAGGCCGGGCGATCCCGATGGGCCTCTGTCCTGGCTCCGTGTCAGCAGAGGGCTGCGGGATGGGGTGCACCGTCCTCCCGGAGATGACGGGCGGTGGGAGGAATAGTCCCGGCGGAGATGGCTTTCTCCACCCAGGACGACGTGGGCGAATCCCGCCTCCTCCCTTTATGATGTGTCAATACTGAAGAATGCTTTTAATAAAAACGATAGCATTTATCCCAGTCTAAGAGTTATTCCTCTCCACAATTACACACTTCACCATAATGTTGTCTGTACATATTTCCCACTCGCCGCCCCAGTTGTAACTCCAGTAGAGGGAGGCAACCAGCGGGTGTGCGCATGTGAGTGTGATAAACCGCAGGAAGTGCTATCAAAGCGCTATGCGAGTGCAGGGACATTATGACCAACGTGTTGTTGTTAGGAGACACACCGCACCTAGCATAAAAACTCTGATTAATGCTTTTTTCTCTCTGAGTGGAAACTGCATTATGGCGGAGCGCGCGCTCCCACAAGAGCAACTCAGTAGGTGAATGCACGCATAGCATGATAGAGAGTAGTACCCATAGAGTCCAATAGAGGGCTCCACCTGTGCTTATATAACTAGGGTTACAATACGTAACCCCCCGTTTCCTTCATGTTTCAATCAATGCTTTTCTTGTCTAAACATAACGCCCAACAAAGAAATGTAAACACAACACAAAGCTTTGTTTCAACAAAGAATAAAGAGCTCCATCTTCTCTAAAGTGTGAACTTTTAAAGCTTTCATGACTGAAGTCACAAGCTAATTCATAGCACTGCAGCACTCAGCGCGTGGAGGGTAACCGGCTGTAGTGCCAGCGTGAGAGCAGCAAATTCAATTAAAAAAAAACATTTTAAATAAGAAAACCTACAGTTCTAGGAAACTCCCAGGTGCCATAAGTAGATGTAATTAATACGCAGGGGAGCAGCCAGGCTCGCTCTGCCCTAGGAGCAGGAGGCTCAAAGCTCCAGAGGACGTGTACTGTACTCTGTTTTGTGAGTAAGCTGACCTAAATTGATGTTGATTGATCGTAGTGTCGACTCCCGACTGCTCCCTTCTCCCCCCATATCTCTGCCGCTGCATTTGATCCCACCTGTTCTCTCTCTTTGCTCTCTGTTTATTGAGTTGCATTCCTCTTTTCCCTCCTTCACTTCTTTTTCTTCTTCACCAGGGCTGCTAAAGCGGGAAACGTGGACCAATGTTGGTTCGATTTGGCTTGCCAGCTGGCATTTCAATTAGATCTATCTTAACGGTACGATAAAACACATTAGGTGTCTTAGTTTTTTTAGAGGCTGTTGATGGGCATTATTTCCTTTAACTTTCACATTTTACACAACCAACATGCACACTGGGACCATAACAGCCAATCAACATAGAAAGCATTTAAATCCGCTCCCATTTAAAGAAGTGTATCAATCCAAACTGGCTCCCCTTGCTCCATTATAACAACCATACTTGGAGACAAACAAGAGTTTTTCATGTTTGCAGTTCTTGATGGTTTCGTGCCTAATACACATTGGTTAAAATCACTGTTTTAAACGTATGCACTGTGTCTATGTTGAGGATCAAGGCTCCCGAGTCTGTCTGTGAGCTTGTCAGATTTCCCTGACTCACTATTGGAGGCGGGAAAGTAAAATAAATGAGACAATCTATACAAGCACTGCTGATTTCTTCATTTCTTCGTTTCAGTGTAGATTGGATGACAGAATGCTTCACATTTACTTCTCGCTTCCAGTTGGTGAAATAACTTTGGAGTGACATTACTTTCTGATTTGTTGAGAGACTATCAGCTGAAAGAAGCGGCAGGCAGAAAATGTCCAGAAATGAACTTGCTCTGTGTTTTTATGCATGAAACTGCTATTCAGATGTATTGACTTAGTAATCAAAATATCCCTTGCACGTTAGTACACACTCACCACATCAAATGCATACAAATAAAATAATCAATCGTTTACACAATCACACATGCACTTGGTTCAGGTGCTTTTGTTATGCAATTTAACACTATAACCGCCAGGGGTCGCTGTATACCTAAAACCGCCAACGGGTCAAATGCACCTGCTATTGGAATGCATTGATTTTCAAGGTACAATGTTCTTTTATTTATCATACTAGAACACAAGGTTAACAGTCAGTTTTAATCGCAGTGATGAAACCAACCCGGTATCACGCCAAGACGTTATTTACCATGCTGGGAGACGTGAAGATTTCACGATTTCGTCCCTTCAAACGTGAAAGTTACACAGTATTGTTAACATGGCCCAACAGGTGGAGAAATACCCTGAAATGCCAAGTAAATGCTACCACAACAGTCGGTTGTTATTGTCAATATTTATATAACACTCGATTTCGCCGATTTTCTTGTTGCCCCAGCTGGTCGACACCTCTTTTAGCAGAAACAAAGGCTACATTAATGTATTAAATCGATGTTAATCCATGCGTGTGGAATTAACGGACTGACGTTGTGCATTATAACAAAATACATCCGTCAAGCCATTAAGACCATTAAGATTAAATGAATTGGAATCAACACATTTTAATACAACTTATGGTCAACATTTCAGCAATAAGGCTCATCCTCACAGCAGTTGATACAGCAGATTTCAGAGCGAAATCAATACATGTTAATGGAATTGCAGAGATCAACAGATCTGGTTGCTTGGGTAAAGTAGGCGAAATATCTGCTAATCTTTCTCATCAAATTCAGCTTTAATAAACTGTGACAAGCTAATTTGCGCTTTTGTTTATTAGCAAACCGTGTTGACGGTGCCAGATCATTTGAAATGAAGAAGCTTCTTAGTTGTATTGCACCATTAACCTTAATCCTACTCTTTTGGAAACATTGCACTATTGCTTTTTTGTTATTGCTAACAGACCCTAGTTACTGTACAAATACATATTTTGTATAAACTGTTATCTCCCTGCTAGTGTTCAAGCTAACTAGGAAACTCTCTAGCTAGCTAACTCTGTTAGCAAGCTAGTTTACTGGGTGAGCCTTGGTGACTGAGTAGCTCTAGCATGTTCCAAACTGTTGTAGCTGGCCAAATAGCCCTGCAAATGTTCGCTATGTGACTAACTTCTAGTACCAACTATATGGATGAACTAAATTGTTGAAAAACTCCTTGGGTTTGTTTAATTTTTACTGTATCAGAGTTCAAATTGTATTTAAACACATGAGATTTACAGAAATGATTCATTTGAATACTGGGCAAAGGTCATTGGCAGAATAACTTTATTTTGAAGTAGTTGAGCATTTTCTTTAGTAAATAGTTGCTTTGTCAACAGATGCACTGTTGGAGCTTCTGGGTGTGTGTTTGATGTGGTCAATATGCATGTGATTTTTCAAAAACTATCATTTTCAGCATGTCCATTTTCCTTCTTCCATTTAATAAAAGGTGCACAATGAGTGAAATTAATTTCTGCTTGATTTTTTATTCCGTAAATGTATTAGAAGTGCACAATGTACCAGTTAATTTAAAAAACATTACAGTCTTTCTTTAAGAAAAATAGACAACAAAAGAGTGATTTTTAGAGTGTAGTTGTACTGTGCTAAATTACTTTGATTTTCACCCCCTCAGTTTGAAGCGGCTTTTGCCCGTGTGGAATTCAACATCTCTGCTACATTAAAGAGACCAATATTTTTCATAGCCCTGCTCTTTTCAGCACACGATAAGAAAGAAAAAACTCTGCGCTCACATGTAAACTATAATCGATCCAGAAAAAGATAATCTTGTCCTCTGAAAAGATAAGACCACATAAAACAAGATGAGATTGTTATGATGCTGATCGGAAAGTGGGTAAGCAGTAATATTTTGAAGGAAAAAATACTAGAACATGCGTGAAAATTAAAGAAAAAGATAATGACCTGTATCATCATTATTAAGCGAACAGCAAGAAGTAGTTTTATAAAAAAAAATATTCTATTTATTTATGTGTCATACAAATGTGAGGACAATTTTACATTGAAAGAAAACCCCCAGAAAAATGTAATGCTGACTCCTAAACTGTTCCTGCAGATAGTGATCCAGAGGCCTTTTTACACCAGGTAAACAAACATTTAAATAATATCTTGAAAGTCTTGGTTGCAGAATTCCGTTTCCTCCAAATGGACAACCAATCTAAAGAAAGGCTGATACTGTGCCAGTACCTTACCAGCTGTCTGGCTCTGCAGTTTGGCAGCCTGAAGCCAGCAAACAACTCTACGTTATATATGTACCCGAGGCTGATGAGTCTCAACAGCTTGAGCCAGCACTAACAGCATAGCCAAAGCCAACACCATGACTAATGGCTGGTATTAAGGCTAACATGTATGACTCACCTGCAGGTTTTCTATGTAGCACTTCATCACATTTTCATCCACAGTGACTCTTGGGAATTAATTACTTTTATTTATGGTGCTCTTATATCTATGTACAATGCCGTTTTGTTGCTAGATTATGAATAATTATATTATGAAACTCATAGTTTTGTTTTGGCATATTCATTACATTCATAGTGACCCAAATTTGCTGAACAGTCCTTCAGAATAATACTTAACAACATTGAGTGCCGTTGGGCATTAGTTGTGTGTTTTGTCACAATTCACCCTTCAGAACTTTCATCCATCAGGCCAACCTCTTCATCCAGGCTTTAGCCTTGTATGTGAATTATGTAGTCAAAATTGTTCATGGATATTCAAGTACATCCCGTAATATTTTTTCTAGGGATGCACCGAATATTCGGCCGAAAATGGTTAAAAAGGCCCTTTCGGCTTTCGACCGAATGTCAGAGAACAGGGTTACATTGGTAAGCTAACGTGTTGTTGTGATGACGTAATCAAAAAGCACGGTGCGCGACCATGCTCGCGGCTGGCTCACAGCCAACATGTCTGTAGCTTGGAGATATTTAAAAATATCAGAGAAAGAGGCGCGGATTGCGATTTGTAAAACGTGTTCAGCTGACATTTCTCGAGGGGGTGTAACTGCAAAGACTTTCACCACTTCGGGATTACTCCACCACTTGAAATCTAAACACCCGGACAAATATGCGGAGTAAGATCAAATCACAAGCACTGACAGCGAGTTACTGTTCAGCGCTGCCTCTCATGTGCTTGATGAGAAGAGGAACAGACTTATGGCTGATAAAGCAGAGAAGCTACTGTTCATTAAAAAGAACCTCCCACTTTTCCTTAATAAGTAGACAAGGCTGGCTTATCATAAGCTTATCTAGTTCTACATGTCTACTCTATACCCACTTTCCTGAACAATTTTCATTGTGAGTTATAATTCACCATCTCAGGTTATCATTAGGGGGAAATGACAGCAGCACAGTGTTCAATATATTGTACTTTCGGTATCTAAATGATACAATGTTGTTTACATTGCTCATGAGGACAGACCACCTTATTTGCAGATTCTTGAAATTGTAATTTAATTTGTAATTGATTGTGGATTTTGTATCAAGTTTTCACTTTATGTATCTTTATACAATGTTTACTACTTTGCTTATGAGGACAGACAG